GGGAAAGCTAATTTAAATCTAGGCTACAACCCCATCCATCTGTCCTTAAAAGCAGTATATAAATGCTCAGAGGAGGTACCCTGGGACTGTACTCATGTCAGCAAAAGTATCCTCACCCTGATGTGATGGCAGCAGGGGGACAAAAGGCACTGAGATTTCGAGGAGGTGTACGAGCGGCCTCCTGCTCTGTGCACTGCCCACGAGAGGGCAAGAGTCCAGGCGTGTGGGTCAGTTTGAATGACGGAGTCCTGGGTCTTCCTTCCTTCCCCGCTCCTGGGGGAGGCAGGCCGGTGTCCTCAGGCACAGCATGGCTCGGCTGTACGCGTCTTGCCTGACCTGGGATCCCTCTATGGCCCGGGAGAGGATTTCTCAGAACAGAAAGGTGTTTACCCAAGCAAGCAAAGGCCTTACAAGAACTGGTGGCTGAAGGCCACAATTAGGCAAATTTAGCCAAGCAATTTGGCCCATGCTTTGACCGTCAGTCAAGGGGTGATAAGTAACAGTTGGGCATATTGTGGGTGAATCGTCAGTCACTTCAACATGCAAATCAATACTGCATTTTTTTAAGATGGTGGGTAGTTGAAACATCAATCGTACAGGCTTCTTGCTCAAGAGTGAAAGAAGTATTCGGCAAGGAATAAATCTCTTCTTTGGCCCGTGTAAGACAGCAGGTGAGCCTAGATGATCACAAGTCCCTTCTTTCCTCACAATTTATTGATTTCTATGGAAGAAATTCCTGTCTGTCTGTAAGGAGGAGAGGGCACATAATTAGTGATTTCTTGTTAGAAATATTTTCAATGAAGAATAATCCTAAAATGTCTAAGGATTTTGGCTCCCATATTACTTCCAAAAAGCTATAGAAAACAACAGAACATGCAAAATTCATCAAGTCTTAAAAATGAAAGAAAATAATTCCTTTTTGTATTTTTTAACAAATAATCCACATTTTTCATCGTCAGCCACAACTTATGAAAAATACATAGCTACTCAAAAACTGTTTTACTGGTACATTATTCCAAAAGCCTGACGTAGGTTAGTTTTAAAGTTATGGATGTGCAGTGATTTGATTTATAAATGCTGTTAAGGCAACTCATAACTGTTTCTGTTATAGCATTCATTGTATAATATTTTTTCTTCAAATTAATTTGTAGTAAAATGCATTTTCCCACAAACATAGTGCAATGTAATTAATTTTGCATGAGTTGCTTTTAAGGCAGAAAGTGTTACACAATATAGTTTTTACAGAATAAACCACCTTTGGGGAAACCAGCAAAGAAAGCTTTTTCCCATAAAAAGCCTCAGAGCTCAGTAGTTTCATGCTATACAATTTTGCAAGTTAAGCTATAAGCAGAGGTGCAAACTGAGGTTTTGGCTGCTACACAGTGGCCCTCCTTTCCAGAAATCTTAAAGCCTACAGAAGAGAGCTTGCTTCCCAAGGTGTGCAGGATAGAGCCTCTTTTCCTGGTGTGCTGCAAAGATGATGGAAGCCGCTTTCCTACTGTTCCTTAAACCAGCCCTCCATGCACCCAATGCCCGCACCTGCTGAAATCTCTTAGGAAAACCCAGTTACTGATAGGTAAATGGTTGTGGTTAACGATATATACTGCAGGAACATTTAACTACCTGTTTGTGAGTGAGACATGCTGTGCAATGCCTACAGTGAAAGTTATGCGAACATTGTTATTCTTCTTAAATTAAAGGACGCTTGCGTAGGGCCTGTCCTTTTGTTGCTCATTTTTGTCATGCCCAGCATAACACAAATCTATGCATCCATCCAGTTACTTACGTACACAACTATTCTTGCAGTTAAATATTACACCGTATATGTATTACTACATCTTTTGCAAAAGATGAATTAGGGCTTATTCTGATTACTCTGAAAGGCTTGTCTGCCTCTAAGGGAGTTCACAGGCATTTTTGTTTGTGAAGCCCCTAAAATAATTGTGTCCTTGTATCCGCACACTGTGGCTTAGCGATACAATGGATTTACACTGGCATGACAACAAAATCAGAAATATATATGCAGAAATGGTATCTCCAGTATCAGAAATCTATTACTCTTGCCTGTGGGTTGCAGCTCTGTCACAGAAAGGGAGCAGCCAAGAAGAGCAGTCGTCACCAGCTCTCTTTTGCATAGTCATCACTAGCAAATAAAAATAACTTCTCACATTATGACTTGGAGGTTAGACATACCACATTCATTTTAGGTGAGCAAATACAATCATTAAAGTAGGCA